AAGCTAGATCTGTGGATTAAATCTCTTTAAGTACATACTTTCGATAGTATTCGGACCTATTATCGCTCACCTTATATCCATTTGAACTCCTTTCCGTTGGACTCAATTGTCTAAACCATGTGCCATATACTAACCAGGTTGCAGTGTCCGTCCTATCCACTAAATTCATATCAGTACACCGATTCAGCGTCAAAGCTAGATCTGTGAAACACAGCCAACCATGGCGCATACTTTTAATGTTTTGTGACCTACAATTGCCTAATATACATATATTTCAAAAATTTGGTACGTACGTTGCTTTATTCTACTCGGCATAGTAATCGTGATCTTTCCTGTTTTCACTCATGTATTTTCAGCTGCGTATTCCCAGACTGTTGTGTATCGCCTTGTGGTTCGACATTAGGTTGGCTTGGGCTTCACGAAAGCTTGGAGTCTATACACAAAGTTAGTACTTAGACTGGGAACATTAAGAGTAAATTCTACTTTAGCCAGAAGTTGTGAAATGATATAAACTTGGGTTTGAGTGTTGAAATTGGTCTAAAAACCTGATTATCCTGTCACGCGTAAGCTGTATACTAACACAAGTGTACTTGAGGTCTCTAACCAATGAGGCGAGGAGATATCCTTGCTTGTTATCCTCCCTTTCAGCATACCCCCAAAGAGACAACGTTCTGGAAACAGGGTTGAAGTGTGAGGATCACAAACACTCAATCAACTGTACGCAGTGTTGGAAGCTACTCCCATCCGCCGACAACCCAACGAATTGGACGCTCGATTGGCGAGAGGCATATTCGTCCTGTGCAACTGAACTGAACTGCACTGGCCCCAGGATGAGAATGTCAGTACGACGCTGAGTGCTTGGCATTCCTCTCTTGTCTTGAAGTCTTGAAGTGACTCTCGGTTTCGAGGCTGACGCCCAATGGTCCCAGATCCTTGATGCTTTCTTGTTTTCTGTTCTTGGAAGATACAACTGGAAAATCAGAGAAAACTGGAGGGGAATATATCTTCTTGCCCGGGGGCAATTCTGGCATCATTAATAGTAAACGTAACAATGAGCTATAGTAAATGGGCAGGCATATAATAACTAAGAAGGGCTACGGTAAAATAAATAATAAAATGTTGTTTTGTTTTTTTTTTGGTTTTTTTGTTCTTTGTCTTTGAGTACATATATAAAGCTTTTCATAGGAGGACTCAGGAGGAAGCAACTAAACCTAGATACTTATCAAGTCGAGACTTGAATGACGCTTTGCTTGTTGAAGACTATCTCTTCTGGCAGTGC